CCCCCGCCCTGCCGCCTCCCAAGCAGCCGGCTTCGGAGACATTTGCAGAGATGTTAACCCCACAGAAGAAGCGTGCCATTCGATAATTATGTAAATCAGCTGGCAATTAGATAATGTCACTCACGCTCCCTCTCTCGCTTGGTTCCTACACAACAGATATGTGTTCTGAGCGTCTGCACCAGCCAGGGCCCTCTGTGCAGGCTCTGGGGCACAGCACCTGTGTCCCGGGCCGTCCGAGCTCTCTAATGGCTCCAATGGCTGGCCGGGTGGATGCGGGCTCCCTGGCTGCCATCTTCCCGTTTTCGAGTCTGGTGTGCCCCACCATTGCCCCACCTCCATTGCCTGGAGGATCAATGCTGGCAGTGAGTGGAAGGAGGCCTGTGATATTTAATGTAAGGGCATCTCTAGCTCTTGGATGTTTTGGCAACTTCCCAGAGGCTGTGGGCATATCCACAACCAAGAAAGCAAGGGAAGGGCTTTGGAAGAGAATGGGGATAGGCCATAGGGAGTCAAGTCTGCACCAACCTGATTCTGACGTTTCCACTCCCGAAATCACATTGTGCCTGGTACCTGTGGGAAAGGAACTTGGCTTTCCCCTATCAGCCTTTTTGATTTCTCTGGATGCAAGGGAGCAAGAAGTATCAGGACCTTCAGTGGTGGTCTGGGCTGATGGGGAAGGATGAGAGCCTGAAAGGAGAGGCTCAGCCAGGCAGGACAGAGCACCCCCTGCCCCCAACCAAGTTGGGGAAGTGCCTATGATCTTTGCTCACTGGGGCGTGTTTCCCAGGGAGCATAACTGTTAACCCATGGGTTTCCTAGACCCCTAGGCACGTGCTACTTTGCCTTTGGGGGCCATCTGAGGTTGGCCTCCAGAGACGTGTGGGGCTCAGGCTTGCAGTCGTTGTTCAAGGTGGGATCATATGGAGGCCACAGCGTGGAATAGATGACCCAGGAGAATGCTCTGCAGCATCTGCTTTTACTGTTCATTCTGACTGCAAGTGTGTCCCGAGCTTCTGTCCTGTTACAAGGCCCTGTGGTAGGCACTGTGTTGAAGCAGCCGCCGCCTCCAGGGAGCCCCCCTCAAGCAATCTGGTTTCAGAGCCTGGGCTGGTAATTACTGTGTTTTACTGCCTCTAAAGTATACTTGGTCTCCCCGCCCCACTAGGTTGTGGCACCCTTGAGGTGGCGAGATCAGCATCTTACTCTGCTTTGATCCAGTAGTGCCTGGAATGAATTGGAGCTCAATCAACAGTTGCAGGGAAGGGTTTCCTCTCTCCCCTGGGATGCTGCCTTTTGACTTGGTTGTCATACCTCACCTTACACAACAATCACATTTGTAGAAATGGTGTCATTTCGTGACCTAGCCCCTGTAATCTACCACTGGCTTCATGTCTCCCACATGCTTCATTCCAACAATACCTGCCTTCTGCTGTTCTTCAAATACTCGAGCCTGGGCTGGGTGAAGTGGTTCACGCCTGTAATCCCAGCACTTTGGGAGGCTAAGGCAGAAGGATCTCTTGAACCCAGGAGTTTGAGATCAGCCTAGGCAATATAGTGAGACCTCATCTCTACAAAAATCAAAAATTAAAAAATTAGCTGGATATGGTGGCACGTGCCTGTAGTCCCAGCTACCCAGAAGGATGAGGTGGAAAGATTGTCTAAGTCCAAGAGGTTGAGGCTGCAATGAGCCATGATCATGCTACTGTATTCCAGCTAGGGCAACAGAGTGACTTACACACACACACACACACACACACACACACACACACACCCAGCCAGTCTGCTCCAGACTCAAGACTTTTGCAGCGACTATTCCTTCTGGAACATTCTTTCCAGATATTTACATAGCTAACTCCCTCACCTTCTTCCAAGTCTTTTTAAAAATCTCATCTTCTTAATGACTCTGATTGGTAGTGGGTGCCTCTTTCTGTGGTGTAAATACTCCTAACCCAGTTGATTTCATGCTACCAAAGTGATGCCAACTGGCTCAAGAACTTCTAAAGTGGCAGCAGTTGGCTTTCAAGCATGAGCCAGCACCAGTTCTCTCTTTGTCCAGGTCCCAACTGAGCACCCCTTGAGCCAATAGGGGCTGTCCAAGCCATGCTTTTAGGAATGCTGCTTGGACAAAATCGTTTCTAGAACAAAGACTTTCCGTATGGTGGATTTAATCAGCCTCTTCTTGGCCAGATTTGTTTGTTCATTGGGAATGGGTGTTTGTTCCTGATTAAGGAACAGCAGCTTCCTCTTCAAAGCAGGGGTAATAACTAGCTTTGCTGATGTGGTCATCAAAAAAATAGTGGGCAGTTATGTGCTGATGAAGACCATGGAGAATTATCACATGTGCCAAGTGATAGCAGCAGCTTGCACTGCTCTTAGAAATTATACTCATGGTGCCGTTTGAGCAGGGAACATGGCCAGGTGGGCCAGAGCCTGCCCCCAGAAACCAGACTGGGGGCTGATGCTTTTTTTTTTTTTTTTTTTTTTTTTTAA